TGCCCCGGACCCCGAGTTGCTGGGGCCCCTGAAAAATTTTTGTTGGGCCCCAGCCTTTTTTGTGTGTTAAATATTTCCGCGCAAAGGACAAGATATCTGTTTTCTTGGGCTAAGTACCGAATTTTGGCATAAAAAAATGAGATAAAGTCCCTCGAAAGCAATTGCAACGTACTCGTCCGGAAAAAATTTTTTACCCCTAAAATGGTACACTGACCGAAAAATTTTTTGGCGACGGGGGGGAGGTTGTTGTCCGGAAAAAAATTTTCCGGGAAAATTTTTTTAGATAGGGGCCCCTAAAAAAATTTGGCCCGGGCCCCCGCCAACCTCTGGGCGGCCCTGCTCAACTTACACTGGTTTTAAATTTGCAATTTTCAGTCATCCTGCGAAGTTTGCAATTTTCAGTCATTTTAGATTACAAACGGGAACTTGATACCCAAATCGGGTGTTTGGGTATCAATTTCCCGTTTGTAATCTAAAATGACTGAAAATTGCAAACTTCGCAGGGCTATATTATCCGCATTTTACAACATTTCGTAACGAAACTTTGGAATATTACTAATTTTGTGATGCTCTTTCAAGCTGTGATGAAATTTTTGTCTAGATCAAAATTTTAGTTATAATGTTAGGGGTCCATTGGGGAATGGTCCATTGTAGCTTGGATGTTTGCCTGGCTTCCAGCCATCATACCTTGATACACAATGGACAAATAGTTAACTCACTAAGAAGCTCGCCTTTCATTAACGCTTGCTTTAAACCGTCCCACTACAACGAGAAATCGTCAATTTTAACATCCTAAAACCTATAATATTACTAATAATACTATTTTAATATTAAGCAGACTTACCTATCTGCATTTAAATAATATCAACTATTGAGAATATTTATATATTTACGACTATTGCTGGGTGCAGTGAATATTAGGAGGTAGATCTATGTATAATACATGCACTACGCAATATAATTTGAATATTAAAAACACAGGAGAGGAAAACAGCCCTCTGCGTTAAGTCACAAATATGTCAATACGATGAGAGAATGTAACATTCTGGTCACTGGATCATGATTGGATGGCATGGAGAACAGCGAGATTTCAAAACAATGAAAAGACAATGGAACATTCCAGTCACTGGATCATGAATGGATGGCATGGAGAACAGTGGGACTTTCAAAACAATGAAAAGACAATGGAACATTCTGATCACTGGATCAAGAATGGATGGCATGGAGAACAGTGAGATTTCAAAACAATGAAAAGACAATGGAACATTCTGGTCAATGGATCGATGGCATGATTGTTATGGTAAAACCTCAGACTTAACAGGCCAATCAGCTATCTAGGAATGCCGCACGCGACCCATCCGGTGTTTTTAATATCCATGGCAACAAGATATCACGTGTCAGAAATATGAAAAGCAATGTACAAAAGGGATATATATGACCTACTATTTACAATAGGACTGTAAGCAAACGAACCGTTTGTCATTTGAACTTGAATATGACTAGACTATGTATACAAGTATTACTGGTAAGATATGCATAATTAGCTAATCGTTTCTAGGAAACAATGTTTCCTGGTTTGTTCACCTTTGGGAAACATGGCTAGGAAACAATGTTTCCTGGTTTGTCCACCTTTGAGAAACATGGCTAGGAAACAATGTTTCCTGGTTTGTCCACCTTTGGAAAACATGACTAGGAAACAATGTTTCCTGGTTTATCCACCTTCGGGAAACATGGCTAG